GAATAAAGATCTATCTTTAGTTTGAGCTTGTCCTAGTTGTTTTTGTTTACTTAAAATCAACATCCTAGTGGCCTGTATCATTTCCAGGGTTCCTTCATCCACAAGATCCTGGCTCTCAAATGGAAACACTTTTCTTTTTTCTGTAAGTATGGTCTTGAATTACCATGTTTTTTTTTTTTTTTTTATTCTCTGAAATAAACTTAGCAAAGTGCTACTCTTTTGATTTTGGTGATTCTGAATTCTATAAATTCTTTTCAAATATAAATGAATTTCCTGGCCTGCAAACCAGGTGATCATTTTGATTCACATAAGAATCAAAATTCATATTCATCCAGATTACAATCCTCACAAAGAACCTTCGGTCCTAAACCACCAGTGATTAGTTCATTGGTCTACATCAGGTTAGAGCAACCCGGGACTACTTGCGAGGCCACAGGCGTTTACCTCTCCTTGTAGAGCTCTCGCTCTCCGAATCCATCGGTAACCAAGTGATGGCCTTCACTCAGACCTTTTCTGTATTGCCCCAGAGACCTGCATTATGGCCAGGCTTTGGTCAGGAATCAGATAAACTGTGTTTTCATTGCACTGAAAAAAGCCCCAATAAAACTAAAAAGCCAAAGAAATAAAAGACACCAGCAAAGAGTTATTGCAAATGCGATGAGATTTAATGTAAGCATTTTTACTTTCTATTTCAAGAAAAAGTTTAAAAGCACCTTTCCAGCTATTTCCTTCTCTCCCTGCAGGCTTAACTTACCAAGTTTAGTTACTTAATATTTTGTCTTTAAAGCTAAATTTATCTTGTTATTCAGCAGTTTAGGGCTCACTTTTTCTCCCATATGTTAAAACACAAAATCATCATCTTTAATTAAAAAAATACATTATTTTAAATTTAGTTTATGTTTACTTCAAGAGTTTGAGGAGTCTTATAATGAAATACAAAAACAGAACCATAGAAATGAAATTAAGAAAATTTAAAAGGCTTATCAGAATCAATTAGAGAACACAGATTCAAATAACAGGAACCCAGGGCACACTGACTATTAAAATTGGGCATTAAACTTATCTCTGATAGAAAACATTCTAGGAGGACAATATACACTTTTACTTAAAAGATATTTATAGCACTTGTAATACTAGAAAATTCAAAAGCTAAGTAACTTTTTTCAAAGCATATATAACATTCATCTATTATAAAAGCAAAATCAAACTTTTGGAGCCAGGTAACGATTAATCAAGTCACAGATCTTAAAGAAACTGAATATATATATTCTGCCTTTTCCTTTTTCATGTTTTGACTTTTGTGGAAAATTTGAACATCAAGGCAAAGCCGTGCTGTAATTGCAGCACTCGGTAGGCTCAGGCAGGAGGATCGCTGTGAATTCCAGGCCAGCCTACATTATATAGCAAGACCCTGTCTCAGAAACCAAATTAACAAAGGAAACACACAACAAAAAGGACATGAGAGATGGAAAACATCTAAGGTCAACAAGACTTAAGATGTTAGACTTTGAAAGTTATTTTCAGAAAGTCAAATTATAGTATTCGTAATGAACACAATTTGTACAAAAGAAATCTCTAGAAGTACCATCTTCAGAAAATTTTCAATTTTTATTAATTTGAGGCTTCCGGACATAATAAAAAGGAGCTGAAACATCATTTTAGTTGACCTGGGGGACAGTGAGTCCCATCCAGGCGACAGTACATGGCCGAGGTACGGACACTTGGTCGGGCAGTCTACATTCCCAGAGTTAACGGCCAGGACGTGGGGGCGCAGGCGGAGAGCTGGCTTGCACCGTTTTCACCCTGGCGCTCCGAGCGTGTCCTGGGCTGTGTCCTACGGCAGTTGGCCCCTTTTCTTCTGCAGGGCCTTCATGAGGTCTGACATGAAGTCCTGCTCCCCGCTGGCCGGGCCAGGGTTCTCCGATCTCCTAGGCAGCGCGGGCGGCCTCTTGACGCCGCCGGTAGGGGGCGCTCTGGGCGCAGCGAAGGGAGGCGGTGGCGGTGGCGGCACGAAGTCCGGGGGCGCGTCCGAGAACTCCGACGGCGGCGGCGGCGGCGGCGGCGGCAGCACCTCGTCCTCGTCCTCGGGCGGCGGGGGCGGGGGCGGGGGCGGGGGCGGGGGCAGCAGGAGATCTTCGGGCGGTGGCGAGAGGTCAAAGTGCGGGGGCGTGGCCCTGGGCATCGGGGGCGTGGCCTTAGGCGGCGGGGGCGGGTCCGTGCCGGGCTCGGAGGAGCGGTGCGCAGGCGGCGTCGGTGGGCCGGGCTTGCGCAGCTGCTGAGCCCGGGGCGCTCCCGGGTCGTGGGGAAGGTGGGCTGGCTTGTCCTTGAAGAAAGCAACATGTATGTAGTGACGCGGACGTTGCCGTGGGGGCCCGTGTGCTGCCCTCCGGCCACCCTCAGCGCCCAGTGTCGCGAGCGCTGGCCCTTCCCAACCCCGGGATCTGCCCTCTGAGGCGGGGTCAAGCCTGTCCCGTCCCTTCTGGCGGCTGGGACTGGCGGGTCCCCGCGGCCCAGCGGCTCCGCACCTAGCACCCGCGGCACTGCAGGGAGCTCGGTGTCCGGTGTGGGCGCCTGCGGCAGGGCTCTGCTCCCGAATCGCAGGAGGCCGACCGGCTGGGCCCCCTCTGTCTCTCGTCTGCCTCGGCTGGCGGACGGAAGGTCTTCCCAGACCGTTTCTAGGTACCGCCAGTTGCAAACTGCTTCCTTTGCCCTCACAGCTTCAGCGGACGGGAGGCGGGAAGCAGGCCACCTGCTGTAGGGTCAGGTTACCTTTGCTTAACGATGTGAAAAGCAGGCATAAAATGAATCTCGTAATCCCTGTTATCTCAGGTTGTGATGAGATTGAGAGAAATAAGTGAGATCCAAAGAGGAAAATAATGATGTATGCGGTACTGGTAGAAGCCATGGCATATAGCGACATCTCCAGTCAGGGAACAAACGTTTAGGGCCGGGAGAAGGCTCAGTGTAATAAGTGCTTCCCTGGCAAGCGCAAGGGCCTGAGTTCAATCCCCGGTTCCGGGGGGAGGGGGGGAATTCTAGCAGCTGAATTGCCAAAAATTCACTCAGGCTTCCATTTTATTTATTTCTGCTTAATAATCTTTTACCACTGAAGATTAAATTTACAATTTTTCCTAACAAAGTGCTTTATGATTGAGTTTAAATTTTTGAATAGGGTGCTTGGGAATTGATGTTCACACAGTAAAATGCTTTCTATTTTAGCTTTATTTCTTTTGGCCTTTCTAAATGCTTTTTTCAGTTGATGTTATAGAAATAATTAAAATAATAGCTGACAATGCACAGTAGCACAAAATTGTTAGGCTTGAGATGTTAACAAGAACACTGGAGAAACCCAACTTTGAAAAGGCTACAGTAGTTCTCAAAAATTATAAAACAATTAAACATACCAAATTTTAATTGTTTTTACCACCGAAAGATGGAAAATTTCCAAGGGAAAATTACTGATGTTAAGCATATTGACTGATAGCTAGCTGGCATGCCATTGTCACAATTATTTAAGGTAGAAATATTCAACAGAATTTATATAATCATGACACATTATGAACAGGTCAAGGTTAGTGACTAAAGTACAATTACTGGCTATGATTTTTAGACTGATTTTAAATGAATCATTAATATAATAAAAATGACACTAATACCAATTTGGATCTTATTTCATTTTAATGGTACTGGGGAGGAAAACTATGGCCTTATACTCTACTACTAGCTATGTTCCCAGTGTATAGCAATTTTAATCATTTATTTATTTATTTGGGACAGGGTCTCACTACCCAGCTCAGACTCCCCAGCGCTGGGATTACAGGCATGCCGGGTTTTGGTGGCCTGGGATCCGGGGCAAGATGGAGTGTGGTAATGGGGATCAAACCCAGATCCTTGCACTTGCCAGGCAGGCGCTTAGACTGCTGAACTCTCTCCTCTGCCCTTGGCAATTATTTTAAAATGTATTGTTTTCTCCATCACTGTGAGGATAATGTCCTACATGGACATTAAAAGAAAATGCATATTATATAGTGTAACCCTTTTAGTAGCCTTCTAATCGGTTTTGGGGCCCACTGAACACTTTTAAACGGCTTCTGAGTAACTAACTGGTTGCCCTAATTTACTCAGAAAAAAATACGTAACTATCTCAAGAGCTAAAAACTCAAGTATACTACTTTTCAAAGATGATTAAAATCATTACATGAGAAAAATTATTTCTGTCAAAATAAATGTAGTTAAGAACTTTCAGCATTTAAACTAAATGCTTACATTTTCACAGTGTGGTAAGAGTTGGTCTTTGCTTTGATTCTAGCCTAGGCCACTTTATTATAAAAAATACAAAACAGTTTCCTAGATGAAAGTACAATACAGTGACTTCTCAGTTGTTGGAGCTATATTTGCTCTTTCCATGAGATTAGTTACTAGAACGTGGCTCATGGTTTAGAAGATGGGCTTAGGGGTGCTGAGCTGCTACAGTTTGTGTTGGTTCCTCTCTGGCCTTACCTTGGCTGCTTCAGCCTGTCTCTGGGCCTCTTGGAAAACAGTGCTGGCTTGAGGTGCAGCCTGGGGAATCTGACCATTGGACTGGGTGCTGCCTGTCTTCAGTCCTAAGGGAGAAATAGACAAACGAGTGTGGACAGGCAGTTTCAACATTCTTGAAAGTGAATCTAAAATTATAAAGCAGTGTGCATCACTCAAGCAGAAGGCAAGGTTCACAGGTTCAAGGTTCACAGGTGAGGTGTGGTACACAAGGCCATAGGAGAAGCCTGAGGTTCAAGCTGGGGTGTTGCTCAGGCACAAGCCTAGCACAGCTCCGGGTCCAGTCCCCAGTGCCAAATAAATATTGTTTTAAAAAATAAGTATTGTTTTAAAATCAACAGCAAAAATTTCTGTGACATTCAGCAGAGTGGCAGGGAAGGCAGCTCAGTAATAGTGTTTAAGGCCCCATGTTTGACCTGCAGCACCACATAAATGAATATATAGGATTCAACAAAGTGTGCATTGTTGATAAAGCCTACAGAGTAAAATTTGGATGAACTGTAACCCAAATGAAAAATATGCCCTGCTTTTCCTTTGTAATTGAAGTTGTCTTGTTTGTTTTTGGTCTTTTTATATTTCACTGTAGTTTTTTTGGTTGAATTGCTTATGAGGGGAGGTTTATTTTTTGTTTTTGGTACCAAGGACCAATAGGTTCTGGAATTAGATTTTTTTCCCCCTAAAGTCCTGGTGGATGTTTATTTTCCTGACTTAA